CATTGTAAAATGACTGTAACTCAATAAAAAAGGTGTCAAAAAAAAAAAAAAAAGAGAGAGAGACAGACCCCACCAACCACTAGGAAAGTGGGAAATGCCAGATATTCAATTCTCAGCCTCCCTTGGAGGTAGAACATGGACGTGTGACCTAGGATTGGCCACTTGGTCCCAGACTCTTATTTAGAAGCTAGAGATGAAAAGGTGGATGGAGGGACCCTGGAGAAGTCACTTTGGTGCAGATGATACAACGGCAGTATAGTTTCCAAGCCCAGCTGAGGCAGGGAGGAATTGGTGGAGTCTGGGTCTTGTGCTAAGGAGATAGTGGCAGCACAGCAGGTGCCCAGCATCCTTATCTCTGGGCTGGTTTTGTGATTTGGGCTGCGGTCCTAGCCACAGCCTATGTCTCCCTTTTTCCTTCTCGTTTTCAAACCATCATTTTACAGATCCTCCTAGGAGTTATTTGAACCAAACAATACCTTTTCAGCAGCTTCCATTTCTACATTAAAAAAAAATCCAGAGTTAATTTCTGTTTATTACAAATAAGAACAGTCTTACTGAAATTTGTTCCAGGAAATGGGACACACCGGGCATCAGAACTAAAATGTGAATTGACTTGGTAAAGGAAGTGAAGAACAAGGCATTAAGTGCCTCAAAGTTTTGAGCTGGAAAGTTGGTGACCATTGTTATACGGTTGTAAGACAGTTGGTGAAAGTGTTCACTAAGGTCATACAAGACCCTTATGAGAAAGAAGAGGAGCTTAACTTGAAGAAGGCTTGCTCTGAAAGCAGAGAATAGAAGGGAAATAGGACTTTACCAGAAGAGGCTCCTTCTGTCTGCATCCTGCAACTTAAGTTATTAAGCATTCAATTACTTGAAGCTGTTGGATCAAAATATGTTAATTTTCAACTTCAGGATAAATTTAGTGTGAGGAGAGGTATGCTGGGATTGAGAAGTGCTTGGTAGAGACCCTGAGGACGTGAGGCTGGGGATGTAGAATGGGCTCAGAATTGGTTTGGAAAGTCTTAGCTGAGGCTCCAGATTTGTTATTCAATGGAGCAAACAGAAAACTAAGATTTAAAAATCATTTTGGGAAGTGAAAATTCACCCTGGGACAAGTTCTGCTTATTCCAATTTCTTTTGTAACAGCATCACCAAACACTCGCACCTTTTCTTTAAATCTGAACGCCACTGCACAGAACTACACTTTTAAGAATCTTAGAATTTTTTCATTCCATTATTTAAAGCTCAGATACTTCAGTGTCTTTTCAGTTTATTAATTCTTTAGCTTCCAGTATTTACAAATAAAATATTCTATTAGCTTCTTTCATAGAATAATCTCAGAGTGTTTTACATACAATGAGGAATTTACCCTGCACTGCCCACCCAGAGAGAAACTGAGGCTCAGAGCCTTGATCAAGTCTGCACGGTGAGTGAGAGCAGCTCCCGGACTGAGTATAGGCAGCCAGAGTGTAAGCTGTTCCAGACTTTGCAGCTGGTGGTCATCTGTCTGAGACAGGTGCTGGATGTCTTGTTCTGGCTTTCTGCCTTTGGCTTTCATTGTCCAATCCCAGCAAAGAGCAAGACACCTGAAGGTCTGGACTCCACGGACTGGCATTATCCATTTTGCCTGCTACACCGCAGAGATGGAAAGCTATACTCGGTAGCTTTCTGTTCTGGGCTTGTGCCCTCTGCAGAGCAGGCTAAGTGCTTGGATAGCCTGACTTCCTTGTCCATTGCACAGGTAGGTATGGAAGAAATGTCACCAGGGAGTCGATCCAAGAAGAGCACAGATGTGGAAGATGTCACATTTAACTTGGAACCTGGGACCAAGTTCAGTGGTTTTTTTGGCTCCTCCGTGTTACTTCCAAAATTCCCTTTACTGGGTCTGTGGTGTCAGCTCTCTGGAAGTGTCACGCTGGCATAGACTGTGATGGAGCTTGACTCCTAGGCACAAAACAGAAGTCTGTGAGTGGAGGGACCAGCGCTCGGTTCACAGGCTGTAAGGGAAATAATGATGCTTAGGAAAAGGAAAAGATCTCAAGAATCACGTAGCATAGCAACTTGCTCGGGGTCTGTCACAGCTGAGTATTAATGCAGGCAGCACTGAGGTCCCCAGACTGCCTGCCCACCCGCAAGGTGGACTTCAGCTCCCTTCAAGCATACGCATGCCATCAGGGAGACTGGGAGGCCTGTCATAGTCATCTGAGGACCTGCACTCAGTTTGGAGAAGCCAAGAGAGTTCTAAGTTATTGAGCTTTAATGAAAGGGTTAGTGAGACCCAAAAGGAGGAGGGAGAAGTGATTCAGGGAGAAGAGAGGGACAGGGAGGAGATGATGACTGTGGGCAAAGACCTTTCATAGGGAGAGGAGATTCAAGGGTCAGAGAAAGAGACAGGAATGGGGGAACTTAGGGGGTTTTGCTGAAAAATATGAAATATACCAAGTGCTGTGTTTCTTCCCCAAGAAAACATCATTAAAAATCTACATTATTTCTTAAAGCTTTTAAAGTCAGTTTTATGTTTTCACTTTGTTTTAGATAGGACAGTGGTCTGTGAACAGACCTCAAGATGAAGACAAGGCACCCTCCCAGGCATTGCTGGGTATGTGCATAGTAGGAGCTTTGAAGAGGATGGATAAATGTAGGCATTTCTGTGGCTTTTTAATCCTCCATTGTCTCCTCAAATGCTTTATTTAATAGAGCCCAACTGGAGCTGAGATTTCAGCCCAGAATTTATTTCTGTTCATTTAGTAAGAGGAAAGATTCCTGTCAAGTAAACTTAGTCCACGCCAATCTTGCACTGGGGCAGAATAGGTGAGGCTCCTTCAGGGCCGCACGTCATACCCTCTTCCAGGCTTGCCACTGAAGCTGAGCTCCACTCCTAAATGCTCTGATTAAATAGGGCTGGATGGAGACCAGGCATGAGCACTTTTACGAAGCTTCCCTGGCAATTCTGCTACGCAGCTGGACTTGAGAACTCCTGGACTCAAGATGCGGTTCCCAAACTTAAATGTGCACTGGGATCACCTGGAGGATGCTGTGTTTTAATGTGCAGATTCCTGGTTCCTCTAGGTAGACACTCTGATTGAACAGAACCCTAGGTGAAAGGCCTCAGGAATCTTTGTTTTTTAACAGATATGCCAGCTGATTCTGATGTGGTCCTTGGACACCTCTGACAGAAACACTGATGAGCAGGGACCCCAGGTGAGCAGCCGTGAGGGGTCTCCTGGAAGCCCTGCAATTGATGCTGCAGAGGCTCCTTGCTGCCTGCTTGCTAGGGCCCACCTTCTCCACTTCAGGACTCTGTTCCATTTGAGCTCTCCTCAGGTCCCACCCTTCCGCCTCCTCCACCTACTCCCTCTCTACAGAGAGGAGACACAGAGAGCCTCACCTGGACCTGGACGGGCTCTGGGACAGGCTCTGAGACAGGCTCTGGGACAGGCTCTGTGGCAGCAACGTAAATGGTGGTGCAGGGGTCCTGAGCCGACAGAGGATCAGATTTCTCCTGAACAGACTACAAGGGAAACAAAGAAAGCAGGAGATTAGCTGTGGAGAGAGTTATTTCCCATCCAGGTCCCCATGGAGAAGCGCAGAACCAAGAAGCCTTGAGTTAGGAAGTTCCTTGGAGTCATTCGGTCCAGCCTCCTTTCCAGGTGGAAATTCTCCTCCCAGTTCCTTAGAACTCAATTCTCCAGGCTTTGTTTGGACTCCCCAAGTGACAACTTGGAGCTCACAGCCTTGTGAGACAGCCTCATTCATTATTACTGCTTCCCAGATTTATTTATTTATTTATTTGACAGGGGAAGGTAATTAGGTCTATTTGTTTATTTAGTTTGAGAGAGGTACTGGGGATTGAACCTACTGCTTGAGCTATACACCCCTCCTCTTCCCAGATGTTTGAAAAGTCTTCCTCACAGTGGACTGGAATAGGTGTGGCTCTTACGCAAACAGTGAACGAGAATGGGATTTTCATAGCATTTAAGTCTCACTCATATCACCCACAACATATGGAAGTCCTGCCATTCTTCACTCTAACATGGTTTCTCATTACTTCTCTTTCCCGCCCTAATACTGAGCTTAAAAATAACTGCTCATGTGCAAGTGTGTTAAGGTTTACAAAGTTCTTCACATATATCTTCTCGTTTGTTTCACAACCACTCTATATATTAAATACTATTGTTACACACACTTTACAGGTGAAGGAGCCCAGAATGATTTAGTACTTTCCTAACGTGCACATGCAAAAAAGTATCAAAGCCAGGATTCCCACCATGGTCTTTTAAACTTAAAGTGCATGTTCTTTCCAAAAAAATTATTCTTCTTTGGTTGCTCCAATTTGTAATGACCTCTTCTTTACCTAAATTCCTCAGGTATTTAAAGTCTAATTCATACATTACAACACTTAACTGTACACTGTATTTAAAACACTCTGATATATTTCCACATTGCTTCTCCAAACAGACCATCAATTCCTTGAGAAATAGCCTATATATTTTTTTGCATTCCCTACAAAACAGTATGGGCACATAAGAAAACCTCAGTTGATGTTTGTTGACATTACTTAGAATGCATTAAAACCCACAATACCAGGGTAGTCGGTATGGGGGTAAATTCAGACCACAATCCTCTACGATGGAGATGGCATAACTAATGCCAGGAAAGTCATTCTTTTAACATACTCTGCGGGCACTGGGTAGGATAATGCTACCCTCCACTTTTCTTTGAAATACAGTGAGACTTAAAGCAGAAGCACATGGATTTTAATGGGAGAGAACTTGGAATTTTGTCATCTGATGGGAGAGGTAAAGAACTGGAAAAGTTTACTGAAGGGAAGAAGATTCAAGATAGGACATGATCTTCCTCTTAATAGTATCTGATGGGCTGCCATGTAGAAGAGGCATTAGATTTGTTCTGTAGAGTCCTTCAGCTTTAAATCAAGGTTAGAATTTTAGAGAAATATTTTGGTTCAATATAATGAAGGTCTTTCTAATAGAAAGAGGTGCTCAAATGTGAGGTGAATTGCTTTGGGAGGCAGTGAATTCCCCATTACTGGAGGTGCTTGGGGTAGAACAGGGGTTCTCACACTTTAATGTGCATACCAATTATATGGGGGTCTTGTTAGAAGGCTGGTTCTATTTCAGAAGATCTGGGCAGGGGAAGCCTGAGATTTGCATTTCTAATTAGGTCCAAGATAATGTCGATGCTGCTTGTTCACAGACCATATTTTAGTAAAAAAGGAGCTAGCCAGCACTTTGGAAGTAATGTTGTAGAAGAAAATTCAAGCAGTAATTGAGTGAAATGAAAGAAGATCTAAATAAAGGAATGGACATATCATTTTGTGAATCGAAAGACTCAGTACTATAAATATATATGATCTCCTCAAAATTGATCAATGCAGTTCTATTTAAAATTCCAGCAGGGTTTTAAGGGGGATATTGACAAACTGAATCTAAAGTATATATGAGAATGTAAAGGACTAAAAATGGCCAAGAACTCAAAGAAGGACAAGAACAAGTGAGAAGACTCATTTTACCAGATATCAAGCTCTTAATAAATCTGTAATCACAGATTTAACAGTATGATACTGGTCCAAGTATGTACAAAGAGACCAGTGGAGAAGAATAGAGAACTTCAAAATAGACTCACACATATATGGCCCCCTGATTTATGATAAAGACGGCCCTGCAGGCCAGGAACAATGTTTTAAATATAAATACTCAATAGGTTATCCATTCAGAAAAAAAAAAAAACCTTGACCCATCTCACATGGTACTCCAAAAATCATTTTCAGCTACATAACAGATGTAAGTGTAAAAGATAAATCAGTTTTAGAAGAAGACAAAAGAGTATCCTATTACCTGGGAGTAGAGGAAGATTTCTCAAACAGAACATAAAAAGTGCTGTCTACAAAGGAAAAGATTACCAAATTGTTCTGCACTAAAACTGAGAACTTTTCTTTATCAAAATATATCTCTGAGAAATTGCAAAGGCAAACCACAGGATGGGTGAAGGTATGTGCTAACATATAACTGTCAAAAAGCTAAAAATATTTAAAGATCTTATAATAATCAATCCACTTGCCCCAAAATGGCCTGAAATTCAAAGGAAAATGGGCAGGAGATTTAAGAGGCACCTTAAGAAAGAAGCTATTAATATGGTCAATAAGCATATGAAAGTTGTTCGACATCTTTAATAATTAGAAGAATACAAAATAAAACTATGAAAAGATACATTCAACAGAATGACTAAAATTTAAAATACCAATAATACCAAGTTTTGATTAGAATGTCTAGCAACTGAAACTCTTGTATGTAGTTGCAGAAAAGTAAATTGGTGCATCCACTTTGAAAAACAGTTTGGCCTTATCTAATCAATTTGAGGATATGCATACTCTATGATTCAGCAATTCTACTTCTAAGAATATACCCAACAAAAATATGTGCACATATCTACTAAGAAGCATACATATGAATGTTCATAGCTGCAATTTTCATAATAGTCTCAAACTGAAAAAAAAACCCCAAATGTCCAACACATGGTCAACTGGATAAACTCTACTATATGCGTACATTGATATTCTATAAAGCAATGAAAATGAATGCATTATATCTAAGCTCAAGGACATGCATGAGGGAGAGTATAGCTCAAGCAGTAAAGCTCATGCTTAGCATGCTTGAAGTCCTGGGTTCCATCCCCAGTACCTCCTCTAAAAGTAAATAAGCCTAATTACTGCCCCCACCAGCCCAAAATAATAATAATTAAAAAAAGGCATGCATGAATTTCATAAATGTAATATTGAGCAAAAGAAATCAGACACAAAAGGAAAAATACTGTAGGATTCCATTTTCATAAAGTAAAACAAACAAAAAAACCCCTCAAAAAACCCTAAACTATATTTTCAGAAGTCATAATAGTGGAATCTTTAGGGAGGAGAGAGAAAATAGTGATTGGGAGGGGCACAAAGAGGTCCTCTGGGGGTGTGAGCAACGTTCCGTTCCTTGATCTGAGTGGTAGTTTCATGGTACTAGAAGACCCAATACTGAAAGATACAGTTTCTCCTCAATTATATCTGTGGATTCAGTGCAATCCTAATAGGATTTTTTCTTCCTTTTCATGATACTTGAGAAGCTGATTCTAAAATCCATATGAAACTACAGAGGGACAAGAATAGCCAAAAACTCTTGAAGAAAAATAAGGTAGGAAGACTTGCTTTACCAGATACCAAGATGGGGTAACTCAATGAGCTGACATTTATATATTGTGCACTTTTTGGTATGTTATGCCATAATTTACAATAAAAATAGGGATGCTAGCAGCATGGGATAGAATAGACAGGAAAGGCACCATGGTTGAACCTGATTACCAAAATGTTTAAGTACAAAGGTGGAGGTTGCTCTTGGTACTCTCATGTATTTAAATGGAGTTTGGTTTTCAGCTCTCAGCTGTGGTCATGGCCTGTGTAATAAACCCTCCAGTCCACTAGGGGGACAGCAGAAAGAAGAGCTTTGTCCAAGAGTTGATCTCTGGTTATCAGAAATGCATTTACCATCATCTGATGCAATTTTCCAAGAAATTAATCAAAGCTGTCTCTACCTTCACATGCTTTACTCAAGAATTCGTCTTTCCCTACACCCTGAATGGCCAGATTCTGGCCTATTCATCATCTAGAATTGCCTTCATGTCTGAAACATATCTGACCATAATCCTTTTAGCTTCCCTCTTACTTCTAACATATCTGCTCCTCAACTTCATCTTGACTCCAGTTTTTTTTTTTTAGTCCATCTATTCTGTCATAGTTCAACCATCACTCCATCACAGTTTTGCTTTCTTTCATCCCCAGCTTACATATCATCTTCCATCTCTCCAGCCACTCTCTAGGCAGACTCCTCAAGATCCTTCCCTGTCTCTTTGGTATTTTGCAAACTCCTAAACTTGGATCAGACCAACATGTCACACAATAGCCTTCTTCAGCTTTTCCTTCTCTCTTCAAGCTGGCACCCTCTTCTGGCCTTTTTCACTCCCTCTTTGGAGACGGCCTGCACTCTTTCTATGGAGTGTGTACCAACTTTTACTTTAACCTGAGCACCCAGTTCCCACACCTCTTTCCTTGCTTATCTCTTGCC